CAATGTTTACACAGAAAATAAATAAAAATAATATGTCTACAAACTACAATGTTTCTCCATAATATTACATTGTTTACATAGAATATTAAAATAAAAATTAATTTATCTCTGAAGATCATATGTTTGATCTTCGACTCCTTGATATTTGGGCAAGATTAAATGCTTCACCTTGTTGTTATTCGTTTCTGATATAAAGCAAAAAAAGGGTTATAAAAATAAATGATTTTCTGCTCAAATGAATATTTAAAAACACAAACCTTGAACTCATATAATTTTTTACACTTGCAATCCATCATAGAGAGTTCTTTATGACAAAAGTTAAAGTGGGGTATGTAGATAATTTTACGCGCTTCATGGCGTTTGTTTATCAATTATTGACAATGTTTTAAAAACCAGACCGGTCATTGAATCGGTGAGGGTGTTGGGTTACTAGTTTATTGGCCAAACTACTGGGTTACTAGTCTAACCACATGACTAAACCGGATAAAATTGGTCGAATTGGATGATTCGGTGTAAAAAAAAATCACTAACACCTAAGAAATTTAAAAATATCATAATTTCACAAGATCATAATTTAAATTCAAAGTTAAGTCAATTATAATTTTGAGTCAAGTAATTGATTTAAAAATGTAATCAAAGTATCAATCTCAAATGTAAACTTATATCTGTTGTCTATCAAGAATGCATTACTTTATACAACACCTCAATCCAACTAATAAAAACCAATGATATCAATCACATGGGAGAGAAAATAAAGTATGTTCAAATTCTGTAACATATCAATGCTATAATACTGCAATAGCCTTTATTTACTACATTTATCATCACTCTCACAAATTTTTAAAGGAAAGAATATCAACTTTCTCTTATATTTTTATTTTTATATTTTTTTTAAATAATGAAAAATGACGTCGTTTTATTTGTAAAAAGAACACTTAAATTGCTGATTTTTCAAAACTGTCAGTTTTCTGATTTTTACCGATTTACACAGGTTTTTACCAGTTCTCATCGGTTCAATTACAAACTCGATCTAATAATTAAATCAAACCGATTACCACTCTGGTTCCCGATTCAACCGGTTTGACCAACCGATCTAGTTTGGTTTCTAAAACTATGATTATAGATATTAGAAGACCTTTATAATAGAAATATTTTAGGTTTCACGCGGATCACTAGTGGTAGTGTCTTGACTATTGATAATCATGAAATGGATGACAAAGATTTGTTTAAGGACAATACTGAATATCTAAAATTATAACGCTAAGTTATCCCCTCGATTTTGTTAAAAGTCGAGGTGAACATGATTTTTTTATAAAAAAAATTATATTGTTTATACAAAATATTGAAAAACAATAATACAACAAAAGAAGAATTTTGGTGTAAGAAGTTATCTAGTTCAAATATTGCACGCATCCAATTTCTAGGAGTTATCTGATTCAACCATTGAATGCCTCCAACTTCTAAAGGAATTATTTGTTCCAACTATTGAAAAAAAAAAATTGCTCTTGCAATCCATCATAGAGAAGTTTTCAAGCTTCTAAATACAACAACAACATCAACACCATTTTGTGAGATGGATCCCAAAAGAATGATATATTCGAGTCTGGAACGACTATATATAAGTTAGAATTAGGGTAAAATTTGTTTAACGAGTGCTTTCATAGTAAAATCTGAATTGTTTACAAAAAAAAATTAAGGAAATCGACGAGATATCTCATTTAGTTTACAAAAATTTATAATGATAAGAAAAAGGTTCCTGAATTTTGTTTTCCCCTCGGATTTTTTTAAATAACTGAGATAATAAGTTTATTGTAATATGTTGTTTCTATTTCTAAAAAAAATAAATCATGACGCGCATTGGAATTATATCACTAGAATAACAATGATCATCTATATTAAAAAATACAATATATCTTTTGAATTTTCAAGGAGACGTTTGAGCTTGTCTGATTGTTTCACTTCCTATTCTCCACTTTATTTAAACATTACTCATAGTTTCAACGCCACATTTCCAACTCTGTGTATCTTCAAATCTAGTTTCAAAGTCTTTTCTTTTCTTAAAAAATATCTTTAACAACCTTAGATGAAAATCTTATGTTCGTTATATTGAAAAGTTTGTTGATTTCGATAATTTGAAAGACAAAGGTTTTTATCTAAGGAAAATTATTTGCAAACAAAATTTGAGTGGTTACTTTGACATTCTTCATGGACTCGTCTACATTAATCTCGTTAAAAAGTTATGGTTAAATGCCTCCATTGAGCCATCCGATCATAATGATGAGTCAATCCAGTCCTATGTTATTGGCTCTCTTATCACAATTACTCAGTCACTTATTGCTCAGACAATAAACTGTGAAGAGGAAGGTTGTTATGTTGAACATTATAGATCCAACATGTCTACTCATATCACCTTCACTTAATTTATCCCAACTATGATAATCTCAGCAGTCCTGCTACTCTACTTCCAATTGGAAAAATTTTGTATCAACTTCTAGTGTTAAATCTTCATCCAAGAGAGAAACAACTGAAAACGCTTACTTGAAATGACAAGCATCTCTTGTTATTACTTATCAAGAATATCAGAGTTAATCTTCTCCTCTACAATTTTTAACTTCTTAAAAGAAATGATAATCATCTCAACGGAGTAAATGACTTTTCTCATACCATATGGAAGAGTTACTTATGAACTTTTCTCTCAGTCAGAGATAGTTAATAGTGATACTATTGAAGTTGAGTGGAGTCAGAATTTTAAATATGTGAAATAGTTATTTGTTGTCCTATTTTTAATTAATGAAATATTTCCTTTTATATTATTGCCTATTAGTTTTTATTGATAACAAAAATTTTGAGAATTACTAATTAAAAAGAAAAAAAAATTAACTAAGAAAAAAAGGGAAGATTGGAAGGCGCCAAGTAAAAAATCATTGAAAAAAACTTAAATGAAGTTACAGAGATTCGAAACATGTTTTCTTATAGCTATATTCCACCGGTTTTCAAAAACACAGAGGTAATACGTTTATAATTTTTTTATAGAGAAAATCTGGCGCTCTAAAAAAACAAGAGAAAAAGTTGTTTTTTAATTTAAAAATAAAAAATTTCGCTCTCAAGACTTATACGCTCAGATTTTGGTATGTTTGAGATGAAAATTTTGTCATAAAAAGTGTTATTTAACGTAATGAGAGAAGAGAATAACAAACTTTCACTATTCTTACAAAAATAATTACAAAATGGTTATTCTACTATTCTGATTATGCTCTCTACTTCCTGCACAGTGTGTGTAACTATTAACAACTACACTAAGAGCATCTTTAATGCAGATTTTTAATAGTTAAATTTTTTATAGTTAACGATGATTATAAAGAATTTACATTGGAATGACTATGACATGACATTTAATTCACTACCTTTTAGTTTCCGGCAATTATATAGCTAACGTATGCTATTTATTTTGAAACATATAATATTATTAAATTAATGATAACTTCAATAAAAAAAATAATTATAATTAAAAAATATAAAATATAGGGTCAAATTTTAGTTTTTTATAAGCAACTATCATTAAAGTAAAAACAACTCAAATCAACTATAAATTTTTTAAATCCTACAAATCACTTTGGACCCACAAAAAATATCTTATTTTACCCACTTAAGATATTCTCACTAAATATGCTCTAATATATATACATAAACAAAAGTATTACGTAAACAACATGCTAAAATACTGAATTACTCTTCCACTAACAAAATTTATATATGAATTTATAAAATAATATATTTTTATTCTTACAATCATTACACGAAATTTTAAAACAATATATATATATATATATATATATATATATATATATATATATATATATATATATATATATATATATATATATATATATATATATATATATATATATATATATATATATATATCATTAATAATATATATATATATATATATATATATATATATATATATATATTATTAATGATATATATATATATATATATATATATATATATATATATATATATATATATATATATATATATATATATATTATTAATGATATATATATATATATATATATATATATATATATATATATATATATATCATTAATAATATATATATATATATATATATATATATATATATATATATATATATATATATATATATATATATATATATATATATATATATATATATATATATATATATATATATATATATATATATATATATATATATATATATATATATATATATATATATATATATATATATATATATATATATATATATATATATATATATATATATATATATATATATATATCATTAATAAACTAATTAAATTCTCACGTCAAAAATACAAACAAGAACAAAAAAATCTCACGTCAAGAATGACTTAAGCCATCTATAAGTTTGAGCTTTTGATAGTTTTGTCTCTAATGGCCAACTTGATTCTACGAATAATATAATACCACGTCTTAAAAATTACTATATGTTGTCACCTTTTTCTTTAATAGTCTAGAAACACTTTGGTTCAGGCCCTGTGGACAAAAGTTTCAACTTTCACTTGTTAATTTCTAATACAATAACAGTTTAAGTAGGGACTTGTTGAGTATGAAAAAGACATCTTATATGGAACCATTAATTATTCTCATCTTTAAATTATAATTATTATTCTGTTTAATCATTCACAACCATTAATATATAATGCACTCACTATAGCTACCAATTATTAATTACCAGAAGCAATAAAACTATATAGTATAACAAAAATCAACCAAAGAATTAAATCATATAAAGAAAGGTTAAATTACAATATTTCAACCACCTCAAAATTATGAAATTAAAAAAAAAATCTCCCCACACTAATTTCTTATACTAAAAAATATATAATCCACAATTTAAGATATATAAATACATCCTTAATGTGTGTCCTAAATATATATTTTTAATTATAAAATATTTTTCTAATCATATCAGTGAATTGTTTTTACATGGTATCATTCATGAGTTGTTGCTCTAAAAACAACATGGTTTCATCATTCCAAAAAATGTCTGATGAGTCCTCATTTTGTATCCATGGTGTGTTTGGCTCCATGAATTGGAAATCTGTTAATTCTTGAGAGAATAATTCAGACGGGTTTTTGATGCAATCGGAGAAGCTAAGTTGATGAGAAAGTTGAGAATAATCTAAGTTAGAATTAGGGTTATCCTTATTATCAACATTTGTGTAATAATAATAATAGTTATTATTATTATTATTATTATTATTATCACCAAAATCTAATATTGTTGAGACCTTATAATTCTCAAATGAATCTGATGATGTGGTTGTGTTACTGTTTTCTAGGGTATAACTTTGTGTTATATGTGGTTGTGAACTTACTAATTCATTGTTGATAGAAATTGTTGGAGTTGAACCCATTGTAACTTTTATCTCATTATTATAGTTGGTGTAGTTGGACTTAGTGTTGTTGACGGCCGTGATTGTGGTGGTGGAAGCGGTGGCCGATGCGGCCTGAATGCGCTCAACTAGTCTTGGCATCCAAAGGTAACGCATAGTGTCCTTGAATTTCTTGCTATTTATGTCGCATTTGAGTTGTTTGGCAAGCTTTTGCACGCGGGTTCTCCAATAATTCTTTATTTCATTGTCCGTTCTTCCAGGTAAATATTGGGCTATTTTCGACCATCTGATCCAATCAATCAATAAACATAATCACTAAAACTGAAAAAAAATGTATAATTCATTAAATCATACACATATCTAATGAGTAAAAAAAATATATCCCCAAAATTTGGTTTGGACTAATTTATTTTTACAAAATTAATTTATAAGATGAAAAATTTTGTATGCTCCTAAACACATTTTAAAATCATATCTTATCTAAATTATTACTTACCGATTACCCCAACGAGTATGAAGCTCGAGAATCAAAAGTTGCTCTTCCAGAGTGATGTTCCCACGTCTAACATCAGGACGAAGATAGTTTAGCCACCTCAATCGACAACTCTTACCCGTTCGTTTAAGACCTAATGCAACAAAACAAAGATAAATATACATCAGAAAGAAAGAGCACCCAATTTTATATTATAGTACTTTCTATTTCTGAAAAAACAGTAATGATATGATTTTTTGGTGGAGATGTATCAATCCATTTTCTTTTTTCACAAGTGGGCGTAGCAAGCAATTATAACCAACCAATATTGATAAATTTCAAGATATATATTATCCGAATATATCAAAATGATCTAAACCTAGCTAGAGAGAACTACATCTAGAAATGTCATATTTAGAAAAAGCAATAAGGAGAATAAAGTATGAGTTACCAGCAGAGTTTGCTAGGGTATTCCAACGACCTTCACCATGAGTAGCAATGTAATTCATGAGGGTTAGGTCCTCATCTACCGTCCATGGACCTCTTCTAAGGTCCATCTCATCATCTTCACTACTCATAAGGTTATTGTTGTTGTTGTTGTTTGGTCTTCCTTTTACATCCATTGATTAATATAGCTACTCTCAAAACAAAGATATTGATTGAAGTTTGGAGATGTATTTAGAGAGAGAAAGAGAGATTGTAGTTGGATTAATAGAAGAAAGGTTTATATAAATAGTCGAGATGGATGATGATATTGCATGCGGGTAATAGGAATAAGAAAACGACAGACTGTATGGTTTGGTGGGGTTTGGGATGAATGGAAAAATAATGATTTTAGTTAAGTATGGTTTGGAGATTAATTAATTGAAGTTTGTAAGTATGACTCTTTTGACTTTCTTACCTTGTTTGCGTGCTCATTAGGTTTTTCGTTTAATGTTTCTTTTCTTTGAGTTCGACATCTATGGCTCCTCACAACTCACTTTTTTTATTTTTTATTTTTATTTTCTTGTTTTCCTTTATTACTCACTTATAATTAAGGTTGTCGAATTCACATTTTAAAAAAGCTTCTTTCATCGATGGTTTATTTGAATGAATGCAAATTTATGATTACACAATTTTATTAGGGTGATTTGATATATGTTTCTTTTTAATTATGGTGATTTGATATATTTTAAAGGATTAAATATAAAATGTAGGTAAGTTTTGATTTATTTTCTGTATTTTTTTTTATTTCTCTCTTGTAATATTTTTGTTTTGTTTTACTCTTATGTATTTTGAACACTGAATCTAGGAGGTAAATAAAAAATATATATATATTACAGGAGTAACTATAACGTTTAAGGAGTGATTTAATTTTTCTTTTACAAGGGGTAAACCGAAACTTGTGTACATGGGGTGTTATATATTTAACCTTATTTTAAATGGTATTTGGTCACTATCTTATTGTTTAAAAATTGTCTCTTATGAAGCGTCTATCGGAGTGGACATGAGTAACATCTTTATTAAGAGTGAGAGTTTTCCTTCTCCTTTAGTAATTATTTTGTATATAGGGCTCTTATTAATTTTTATTTGTCTTGTCTTACATATAAGATTGGCAACTTTAAACGATGCTCTATATGAGAAAAATGTCGTGATATACACCATCACCATCTGATGTCGTGGTTGAGCCAGCTTCAGGGGAGGCTCCTTCTTAGAAAGAAAAAAGAAAGGCTCGGAGAGTATGTTGGTACGCTTTATGCTTAAAGGAACACGTTTCTTCGTGAACTTGATGGTCAACTAATCTCTTAAGGGACATAGATGACAATGTGCTAGAATTTAGGCACCCATATTTGTTAGCTGATAAGGTGAAGACTTTCACTCTAGAAATAACAAAGAGGGACACAACCTTGATGTCAGTCCAAAAAGCATTATTTGACATAGAGATTGCTTAAGCCAATGTAAACATGGCTTTAGATTCTACTAATAAGATGGTAGGAGAAATGGAGAAATCCTTGAGTGAAGCCCGAAGTGATTTAAAAGCAACTCAAGACGAGTTGCATAAAAGGTTCATTTGACCAAATAATATGTAAAAGCTCTGGAGTTTAGTTACTCTATCATGCATATGGCTTTCAAGAATGCCTTGAAGCGGATGGAATTCTTCCATCCCAGAGTGAAAATCTTGAGGGAGCAAATTCATTTTGAGTAGAAAATAGTAGATGAGAGATTGAAAATTCTTGGTGAGATGCTGACCTCATAAGTTGTAATAGTATTTCTAATGATTAAAATGTGCTAGTTGTTTTTTCTCACCAATATGGTATTTTTTTTACCTTCTTTTGAAAATGAGTGTTGACTCCTTGTTCATTTATAATGTAGTATCTGCCATTGTGGGTTTTCGTTCTAAGCACAAGCTCAAAATCTTGGTCCGTGGTAATTATCCCTTGGACGTCTTTGAGGGACTCGCCCGACCAAGGGTCTCCTTCTTTTCCTTGTCCCCAAGTGAAAACTTGGTTTGAGACTGACATGATTTGGCATCACCCGTTGCTCTCTAGAGTGGCTAGCTATTGATATGGGTGAGCCCGAATTACCACTTTCATGTTCAATGTTCTGGTGTCCTTGATTGAGTGACTTCTCACACTTAGCGTTTGATTGCTCTATTTATGCACCCATGGTGTCTATAAAAATACAATTTTGTCATATTTAATTTAGAATTTGTGCAAGTCGAGAATGGACATGTCTTTCATATGACGATAAAGCAAAAAAAATTGGTGAATAACTCATTTATTTGCTTGAAAGAGAATTTTTTACATAATATGAGTTGACATGAATGGTAAAAATATGTAACAAAATCAACTTATATGTCACTTTATTCATCTTGGTGATACTCCCTTGCGGTAGCTTCCTTCGCATGAGAGTCTCACAACTCCGGGTTGACTATTAAATTCAAAAATTCACATACCTTTGTGTATTTCCAACTCTTCATTCTGAACGAAATCCAGGGCAAAATCTTCTTCATTCACGTCATTCCTTGTTCCTTGTCATAAGGAATGATTCAACATTGTTCTCCCATAGTTGATGTTGTCATTTACCAGATTAAGAGATATCACATTGTACTTGCTTTCGAAGTTTGGCTCTATTGTATGATGATTAATCACAATATTCTCTAATTGTCTATTGAGGTTGGAAACATTGAAGTCCAGTAGGCCCTTCTTATTATGCTTAATCGTTTATTGTTTTTAGATATCACTTTTGTGTAATGAACTAAGTTGTAAATTTATCATACAATTTCTTCTTGGAGTTAATGAAGGTGTGTGGTAAGGTTTTGAACCACGTCATTATGGATCCTTTGAGAGTTAGTACAAATTATTTTCATTTACCGTGCTTTTAGCAGGGTGACAGTCCGTACACTATATACGGGTTCAATATGCTCGTTCATGCCTTCCATTATGTCATATTATTGATAATGCGTTTTGAGAGCAAGTTCATTCGACAATGAGAAACGACTTAACCCTTAGTACCTTTCTCGTATCTTTTCTATGAATGGTGTGATGGAGATATCTTAGGGCGATGATCCTCAGGGTGTGTGCATGCCTCTAGAACCATGAAGAGGATATTAGTGATCTGGTGTTCTGGTGATTTGGAAGCCCTCATGTGATGTGAGCTAACATCGCTGATAATCTCATGAGGTATATATCTAAGGTTATCACGTGACACTATTTCTTGTTGCGTGTAGCCACACAACGAAACTATTTGTTGATTTCCTCTACTCACAAGAAATTTCATACAAAAGGTGTGTATTCTACTACTGCACCAAATTTTAAATGTTAATGATAATTTCATCCGCTCTTTATATTCAAAGTGTGGTATGAAGTTGTTAAAGGCTTTGAAACATTTCTAGTTCGTGAGCTTGCACATAATTTAGGTTTATTAGAAGTTTAGCCTTGAAGCAGTTGTTGAAATGGTTGGAAGGACGATGAGATTTAGAAAGTGACTCATTTGATAAGTGGAAGAAATATAGCTTGAGGAGATGAGATGGTTGGAGAAGTTACTAGGACCAGATCGGCTCCCTCTACGAGAGGATATGTAACTTCTTGCGCGAGAGCAAAGATCGGTGCACCGACTTTGACCATCAAACCAACATTGTGATAACTGACTATTCGAGTTGACTTGGAATCTACCATTACCGGGTGAGTGAGTTAACATAGATTAGGTCGATTGATAGAGAGTTTGACGATATTATTATTTTGGTATGGAATAGAAGATTTATGGCATGTGGATTCAAAATTCTTTGATGCAACGGTGCTGATCTCTGGTATGGTGGAATATGTCTGTGTCTGCAAAGTTAACACTCCATTACCTAAGTTAGTAAGGTCAAAAAGAAAAAACTTTGCATAAGTTGATGAAGAAGTACCTAACATAGCGTGTAGATGATTTAATATATGACGAACATTTAAAACAACTACTACCTGACCAACCGTTGCGAGGTAAGGGGTGGTTGTGTATGATACTTTCCATCAAAGTCGTGCAACCATGATTATAAGCTATGTAGAATTCTACCTATCATATCGGTTACTTTAAACAACCGTTGTGATATTCTTTAATGCATAACATTTACCAATGGTTGGTATAAACAACCGTTGTGATACATACACTGAGTTTATTATAAATCATGTGAAATTCTTATTTTGTCAATGATCACTAAACATATAACCTTTCAATCTGATCTAAAGCATTATAATTTGAAAAATTAAATTATATTAGAAGAACAGGTTCACGTTCGATGCTAGACAAGTGTTTTTCAACTCCTTATCCGCATTTTGTTTTTTAACAGTTAGAACTTTGTTTAATGCTCCTAGTTCTTCAAAACCCCCTTCCTTCACCTCTAGTTCATTTTGAAAAATATTATTTACTTTGGAAACAAAATTAACGGTGGAGAAAGGGGCGGTTGAAGAACTACAAGCATTAATTAAAGTTCTAATAGTTAAAGAACGAAATGCAGATAACGGGCTGAACAATTCTTGTCTAGAATTAAATGTGTATTCTAATATAACTTTATCTATAATATTATAATTTGCTAATGCAACCTGAAAAATTATATATTTAGTAAGGGATTGGAAAAACACTCAAACCACATAAGATATAATAAACACATCTTTTAAAGAAACGTTAACAACAACATTCATCAACAACAAATCTTAAACAACATACAAGATATAATAAACATATCAACTCATAGAATGTTTCAGAAACGTACATGTTCCATAATGACATCCACAATGAAAGAAGGATGAAGCTGAAGGAGAGCTGCAAAGTTGTGTCTATTTTGAATGGATGTCATTCTGAGTCTTTCACACAAGTTTGCACCGCTCACTTTACCTTCTTCCTCGTTATTGAAACAAACATCCCTACCTACAAGTCCAAACAAGTAAAAAGTTCAAACATTATGAAACAAGCTATTGAAACATAAACAATAATACATAAAAAAATTTAAAACATAAACTATAATGAAGACGAACCTCTAAGGTAGCCATTTGCCAAGATTTGATGCAAAAAAGATAACCTTCGAAGAAGACAAGTTGACTTCATAAGTTTGGGGTTTCCATATGAGAGAGACGAGTGACAAAGATGTTAGGATTTTGTTTTAGAG